ATATATATATATAAAATCTATTGCAATTTGATAATATTTACTCTTCAAATCAATTTTGGTAAAAAACTCAAGCTTCATTAAACTTGTCTAAAATATCATCCATATATGGCATCAATATTTTATCTTTAACCATCTTTTTTTTTAAAGCACATTAGCTCAATAAAAAAAGATATTGGTAAATTAGCTTTATTTCTAGCTTTAGCATAATCTTATATCTCATAATAAAGGAAATCTATAAATTTGGATGGAAAGATATCAATAAATTCCTTGAGTACATCCCGTATTATTACTTCTCCCTTCCATATGCTTTGTATAAACTTCTGAATTTAAATTTATTAGGTTATCCAACCTATGCATAAACCCTAAATATCCAAAAACCCTTAATCAAATAGAAAAGGGGGTGGACTCTTATTTATTGGCCTTTTTTTTATATTTAAACCTTTATGAATCATTGCTTAAGCTGTTCTCTTTAATTGCTTACAATTTACTATACTTCCTTACAAATTTAAGCTCTTATGAATAAAAACTAAGAACTATAACTGCTCTTTTGACACCCCACCCTCTATAGGTTGAACTTAGCCAAAGTAAACTAGGTTGTCAAATGTTAATCTCAACATATGGTATGATTTTCTTAATCAACCAATAGAGTCAAACTTAAAACCCCTTTAATATCAAATGTAAGTTTATAAATTTGGCCTTCCCAGAAAATCACATCTAAACTATTATTCAAATCTAAAATTATATTTAAAAAATTTAACTGATTAAAAAAGGAGTGCACTTTTATTCATAGGCCTCTTCCCTCTATTTGAACCCTTGTAAATTGTCTTTTGAGTTGTTTTTTTAATTACTTACACTTTTATTATTCTAAATAAACAATAAGTAATTTAAAAATATCTATTCATTACTAAAAGCTTGTTTCAAAGATATAATAGAGAGTATAATAATTGGGGGCTGAACTCCCTCTCTAGACCACACATCTTTAATGCCATTGTACTCTAGCAAAATGTGTTTAATATTTCAATTTATTTTTGAATCCACATTTATTTATAACATCCCAAGAATAAGCTTTACACAATGAATTTTTGTGAAATAAAAAATCTTCACAAATGTGGTTTTGCTAGTTAACACTTCTAGCCCTTTTATATAAGTATCAAAATATTGGGTAGAAGTAGCTACACCTTCCATTATATATAGAAGAACTCATGTTATTAAGTTGTGCTCTTCACAAACTTTATGAAAACAAAGTTGTAATCACTTTAATTGTGTAGTAAAATTTGTATTGGATTGCCATAGAATACACCCTCTAACATTAAAATTAATGCACAAGTGTTCTCAACTTCTACCTTATTCCACACATAATTTAATTGACCATCAGCAATTTACAATTGCTTCCTTTAACCAAATCAATCCTTCTCATCATCCTCATGTCACAAATTCTACAACTTAATATTTAACTTACTGTCATTAAAAGATTAACCATTTTTCTTGCTTTGTTGTTTGTTCTTCACCTATAGATAAATAAATTTATAATGTCCAAACTAGCCATAATAATAATAATTTTACTTTTAGTTCTTTACAAAGAATATCTACTTCTTCAACCCTTTTATTTTTAAAGTAGTCATTATAGATTTCAACTTGTGATGGTTATTTCCATCCTCGTGTTCATAATGATTGTTATAACAAATCTTTGACTAAAAGACTCTTCAAATGCTTATGAGATTTATGCTTATTTTTATTAAATCAACAAACCACATCAAATAACTCTTAATGATGCAAGTATTGCCTTCACTTTGAAGGCCATTTTAATCTAGAACATGGCTTATTAAATGAGTAAGTTTCTCAATGAAATCTCTAAATGTCATTCTTCTTTATTGAAGTTCCATGAAAGCATTTTTAATAGTGAGAGATAAAACATAAATGAAAAACAACTTCAAACTCATCTATAATAGATATTAGTGGTTTGTTATTTGCAGTAAAAGATTCTTTAAGTCCATTCCACCATCAGATACCTGCATAATACAAAACCATTAACCATTAAAACCTTTGCATCTAAAATTCCTTTGGCAGCCAATTTAGACACTTATGTTGCCATCACTGAAAAATTGAAAACTTAAGTCAATCCACCAAATTAATCTTGTATAGAGTACTACCATCTCCAACCTCAACACATGCCTCAACATGCTCATGCATCATAGCACTTACGAAGCAATATTTGGGTAACTCTGTGATCAAGCGCCTATCCAGCAAGCCCATGTCCATAATCCGTGTGATAAGCACGTTCAAGTTTGCTAGCGGAGCCGAGTCTAGAAGTTTCAACAGCTGTTTGCCACTCCAGTAAAGCATACCTCCGCCCTCTGCCATTCATACAGCTTTTGTTGAGCAAGGCCAACGAGAAAGGATGCGTCCCTGCATAGTGCTCCACAAGCTTGGAATTCTCGAGCATACCAGCCAAGCACGGAAAGCTTGCTTGTGAAAGTTTCTAGCTCCTCACTGAGAATTCACAGCTCAAAGTTTCAATCGGAAACGAACTCACAGGTTTCAATCTCGTACCTTAATGACTGTGCACAAAGACATCACTGCGCCGATAGTACTCGTTTATCAGCGCGGAAAATAGACAACGAGCTCAGCAGTAGAGGCAAGATAATCCTCCACTCTTCGCCTTCTTTCTGAGGTTCTTTGCAAGCTACCAGCTTTTCCAGCAGTCTTTATAGAAGTTCTTATCCCATTTAAAGCGAGCTCCTCAAAACTCTGGCAATTGCGCGAGAAACAAGCTTGTTTGTAACTTCTAAAGGCACCAACAATAGCTTTTGCTGCAAGGGAAGTGGGAGCTGCAAACGGACACGAATAAGTTTTCTAGTATCTACACGAATAATCTGATACCTTCACAAGGACCGAGAACCATTTTAGAAACTCGCTCGAGTCGCCCAACAGTGAAAGAAACTCCGGAGTTCTCGTGACGAGGCTTGTGCTTGTGCGATCATACTTCTGCAAATTTCATATAGTCGCATTTTAGATCTTTAGCTATAAAAAAGAAATACCAGAAGCTTGGAGGAGCTATCAGAAGTTGAAGTTATCAAGGCCAATATGCGAAGAAGGTTGATGAGATTTTCCTCGTCTTGGGCGTCGACTAGTCCCTGGATTGATAACCCCAAGCTTGAGACCAATCTCTCAAGTGTGGAACGATTTAGAGCATCTATTCCCTGCAAAACCGAGTGAAACAGCTTTCTTGTTTTTAGACTACTTTTTACCTTCACAACTTCGTCGAGAAGGACACCTTTCACGTATTCACCCTGCAATATGAAGATCTCAAGAAAAGCCCAAGAAGCTTTGACAATACCTGGTCGCTAAGTATAAAAGTATACAATCGATTCTGGAGTGCCTCGGTAGTAGCTTGATCTAGTGACCAGTTTGCAGTGGCTTTTGAAGACTATGTAAACCATCACTTGGTAAGAGTAACCAAAACAGAATCAAAATGCTCTCATTAACGCACCTCAAGTATTAGAGATTCTAGACGATCGATTTGAAATGTACCATCCTGCGAGGAGAAAAACCAGCTCATATTATGATTGAATGAATGCGTTTGATTGTTCCTACCTTGTATAACAGATTGTAAAGAGTTGATCTAAGCGTTGGCGAATCATCAGTCAAAACTTTCCTAGCTATCCAAGGGTAAGAGCGTCCCAAAACCTTGTAGTTTGGATCGATGGTAATGGCTATTCCTTCCAACACCGTTAAACTGGAAAAAGCAAAGATAAAAATCATTCTCAATGTAGTTTTCCTTGCCTTCGAATCACGAGAGAAAAGTATGATGGTATCCTGA